TCCATGTAACCTCTCCATGTAATCTCCAAAATATCGCTCAATATTTTTAAAAATTGGCAGTATAATCAATCTCTTAATTAGAACGGGGCTGTAGCCCCTGGTGTGGGCAGCGATGCTGAAAAGTCACAACAATTCAATTTAATTGAATTTAAGTATTCAAGACGTGACGCTACCTACGCTTGCCATCGGATTTAAAGACTTAACGGTAGAGATTGACCTCTATTTTGTCTAGAGTTAACAACGGCCGGTAAAATGTCCACTGAAGTCGAACAGATGGCCGCTTATAACCTCTGTGGCCAATTTGTCGTCAGTCGACCACCCAACTATAAAGCGTTGCCTATCAAAATCAGTTTCGGCATAAATGGTAACGGAATCTTTACTGTGTCGGCGGTCGAAACGACGACCGGTAGGTACGGGAACATAACCATCACCCACAACTACGATGGACCTTCCAACGAAGAAATCAAGCGAATGACTAACGAGGCCGGAAAATACAAGAGCGAAGATTGAGAACAAAAAGTTTGCCTAAGAATAGATTTGGCAGACACGGATTTAGTGAAGACACTGAATAATTCTGAGGCGACATGAAGCGTTTTATGGATAAAATAAGCGAGATTCTCATTTGAGTCGGTGTGAGCAAAACGGATAAGGCGAGATCTGCTCTTGTCAGAAACAGCTCGAACAAGTAACACAGTCTTTTTCGCGTCAACGGATAATTGGTAGAACAGATGCAAACTTCTATTTGTTTTTGAGGATACTTTTTACGATCTGTTCTGGAAACGAGCTACAATATATATAATAGCCGGGATGCTGAAAGTATTATTTGTGTATTGAAGATTTGTCTGTCTGTGTTTATAGATAGTGTGAGCTCTATGTAACTGTAATAGTTAATCGTCGTTACCAAACACAATTGATTAAACCTTAATTCAAGAGGAACACTTCACCTATTTTTATTTTATGTAGATACCTCATTAGCAAGCATCAGATACGCTGGATTGTTTACAGCGATAAGCCGTGATAGCAACAGAAGTCCAACATGTTTCCAGTGGCAGGGGACTAATAGGTTTTAAGTTTTACGTAAGCTGTTAGACGTTACTTCGGCCAACTGACTCCCAGCGCGAAATGTCTATTCGAATTCAAACTTAAACTACCATTTTTCACGAAACTTAGTAGACGAGCGTGGTAGCACTGAACTATTACCATTATTCTTAGAAGATTTGATGCACTTACACCACGGAGCTATTCCCTGTCATCCAGACCGCAAATGTTATATTGCTTTTACGTGAGTTGGCACTAATATATATTATTATATACTTAGTAAGAGAAAATGACAACAGACAGAGATCTCAGAATTAAGATTACTATCCTAAAGCCAGTGTAGACCTTTAAGAGAAACTGGATGTTTTATACGGGAACTCGTGATTCAGAAAATGATATGTAAGCAGTGGAAAATGACTTTGTCGATGAATATAGATCTTATGTTTTAATTAATTACAATCGGTACATCAAACATATATATATATATATATATATATATATATATATGTGTGTAATGTACTAGTCACGCAAACTGTCATGTATTTCGTCGATGATGAACGACTAAGGAGCCAACCCTATTTTCGATTTAAGTTCACACTCCATGGAATACCCGCCCGAGAACTTGACGTGTCACACGCTTCGGTTATCGCCGACTACCTAACTTACGCTAGATAGGATTAACGTTAACAAGGAAGCCAGCCAAGTCTCGTAGAAGACTTCATTGAAGATCTGAGTAAAGCGGAAGAAAAGTATATTAATTTGTGAGAGAGTCGATGGCTATCGTCGTTTACGTATATCAATTAAGTGATTCAAACATATTGCTGACGATTTAACGAAATGCATTGTTTCTGTAGAATTAATAAACGCTTTGTTCTTAAAAAATAACTCTTATTTACACAAAGCAGTAGTTATATATTACATATTTTCTATGTGTACCTAATACCGAGTAATTGCAAGTATGCTGTTCTTATATTTCCATCTCTTTTTTTTTTTTTTTTTAACATAAAACGACGCCAGTGTGCACGATGCATTCAAATCGTTTGCATCTACAGACTACCTTAGTTACAGATTATTCAGATATACGTAAGTAAAGATTGTCTGATACCAACTCAGCTACTTACAGTAAGCGACATTAACAATATAACCACAATTTTAAAGGAAACGCCATATAGATGGTGGATGCTTGGTAAAGATCCAAAGCCTACGTTACCTGTAATAGAGTCCGCGGCCGTCCTAAGCATATTTTGAAAAAAGGGAGTCCTAGAGCCATAGCGTTTGCCTTTTAGCCTTAGCACTTCGTGCTAGAATGTAATATTTCAATGATAGCATATTATCATTATCGTAGATTTGAGCTGGAATCGATGATACTGAGGGGGCAGTCACGTTAAGACGGGACCATTCACTTGTAATTCAATGGGCGCTTACGAGGACAGCGCATAGGTTCACAGGTCAGCAACACAAGAGAATAAAGTAGACCATCTCACTCCGCCTACAACTATTGAAAATTAAGGGACAAACCTACTGTGATCGGTATGCCCTTTTAAAAAGGTGTCCTAAAACGATCGTAGATTAGAGCAAAAACAGATTATTATGAAAGATGGTTTTATTAACGGCTTTGTCGAATCAATACGTTGAGTTGTCATGAGGTTATTTACACCTTTTTCCTCGCTTATTAAGAAGACAGATTTGTTGGTTCGTTACCAAATTTCTGCGAATTTTCGCCAGGCGTAGATTACGTCTGTTAATAACCTATTAACTTTTCCTCCTAAGGCTACTGATGGCTTCTCCCAAACTACGAAATTTTAACGTGAAGGATATACGTAAAGATATTGTATTAATAATACCATATATGAATAATAGCGTATTAATAAGGAAAACTCCACAAATAATGCTTAACATATGAACCTATTCTATTGTAGCTAACGGAAGGGATCGTGCTATTGAACGGTCCAATTTCTAGACTGCGATAGAAAAGAGGCACAACATTGTCTACTCCCAAACAATTCTTCCCAAACAAAGTTGTTAGGAATAATTGCGACATGATAGACACGCTCTTCATCTTAAATCCGGGTATAGATAAGCAAAAGTTGAAGTCGCTTCAATAAGCCTTCACGTTCGGGACTCAGTTCCCTGTTCCAAAGTGATTCCATTGTGTGACAGATACATTAGCAATCGAGTCATGATGAGCAAGTACCTCGATTTATGGCAAGTTAACTGACTAGTCTTACGTGCCCTTTTGTTCAACGGGTGTAGAAACGCTTATCATAGCGCAACATGTTGCATACGTCTCTAATTCCTATCTACTAGCATACGATAAAACAGGCAGATCAATGGAGATATGCATTTTTTCGCACCATAGTAACTACGCTTCCCGCTCGAATAAGTGCGACAATTGTATTTACAAGACTTTTCTCATGCTGCTTATACAAACGAATTTACTCTGCAGTCCAACTTGCCAAACGCCGATCATCACGAACACGCCATGTCTTCGTATGGCCTCATTTCATTCCTCACCTGTGGCGCTTCTATCTGATTTGTTCGTCGGTTAATGCTGTTTTAGCCATATGTCTTGCTACTAAGAACATGACAATTTATTCACGCTCTTTCTAAGTATGAACGATCCTATTTACTGCAACCGGTCGTTGTCTTACTGTATTGAAAATTCAACATGCGTACCATTACGAGTATCCATTGTCATCGACAGCAAACGTACCAAAAAAAGGCCCAGCGCTCAGTAGGGGCGCGTTGCAACTCAAATTATTCGATTGTTTCTCTTACGTAGACGTTACGCCAAAACTGAAGAAGAAGCAACGTTCAAGTAAGAAGAGCTTACCCTCGTCCGCACCACTCAAGGTACAAATAACACAGACTGACAATTGGTCTGGGTAGATGATGAAACAGCGTTGCTATGGCCCACAAAGACCCTGTGCGCCAACTTACAAAATGGCCTTGTCACTTACTTCTACAGTAACCACCGAATGATACGCCGGTACCAGCCAGCATCAAGCCACGAAATTGTCAGCGACTATACCTAATTAATCATTGAGATTTTACGTTCGATATTGATAGATAGGCACAGCTGTATTCGCTGGCTCGATTAACCCTAAACGAACCTCGTATTTATGCTCAGTTTCGAACTTAGACCATCTCACGAACTTAATTGACCAAGTTAATAGACAAATACGCTCCTACTACGCTATCAACCACGGCTGTACGGTCACTTTCTTTGTTTGTTTTCAAAAGGGAAAGCGGCCATTTTGCGTGTAAGCGAGCATCGCCTGGCTCTGTTGAACGATGCTCGGATGCGCGGGCCAGGCTATGTGGGGATGACTGTGAATGTAAACAATTTTGAACCCATTAAATCTCCAGGTTTTCGAGCTGACCTGTTAACTTACTTCTCTAGACACATGTCAATAGATTGAAACTACTTAACTTATATTATTTCAGTCGACCGACGATAGCTGTCTGACTCGTAGTGGGCAGACTGTATCAACAAATGCAAACAGATAGGTGGACGAGGTCCCTCAGTTTGCTTATAGACTGACTCGGCAGACGACTGTAGCTATAACGAAGATGGCGTCGCTGATTTGTCCTTGCGACAGCCACTTACCGCACGATACAACGATCTTCAATTCAAACAGTGGCGCGCGTTGGCCGAGGTGGCTCCCTTTCCGCAATGACGTTCAGCTGTGTTGACCCAACCTCCATTTAGTGAGTGATAGGCAAGTTTGGCTGAATCGACCCAGTTGACAGACCTGCTCGTTGCAGTCGACTGTGAAAATTCCACCTGGACGGCAACCATGCTTGCATTAAAGGTAAATAGAAAATCATCTCATCTAAAAGTTGGGTTACACGATGATTTCTCGTTTAGTAAATAGCATTTGTCGTGGTATTGCTGAAAGTGACTGTAGGTGCCGGTTACTGAATCGACCGAAACTGCGACGAGCAACGCGCCGACAAAAACAATGTGATACAAATATATGCCTCTTAATGGTTAGTTATTAACACAGGAGTCAAACGTTAAAGCATTCTATGGGAATGTAACGACGATTCTAGCGAGCGAGGAGAACTTTATGTTTTTGATGGCGGTGGAAAGCCGAACAAAAAAGAAGAGACGATCAAAGTGAATTTCTACTGATATTCTTGCGCTAAACAAGTTACTACATGTTGTGTGAGATAAACCTGCTTTTTGTTAATACCGTCATCATCGGATTATATTTTTACTAATGCAGTTGTCTACGTAGTTGATCCAAGAACACGCCTCACATTGTGAAGAAGGATGACTTTGCCGTCCTGCTGCTGCCGCCGCCGAAGTTCACTGCGTGCGTTTGGCTGGAACAGGGCTTTGGCGGTCGTGACAGGTTTAAATAGGCGTCTGCAAAGTTCTGTCTGGATTGTGCATCAAAACGATTGATATCTATTGCGCTACTATTTCTTAAACAGCCATAATGCCTATGATATGCCGGCTATCTGTATGTGTTTGTAGAAATAGCTGCATCTGCAGCCGTAATGATTTGAAGGACAATCAAGCCATTGCTTGAGCGGTCCCTCAGCTTTGCAACGGATCAATTACTGCTATCATCCGTGATGACTAAAGTCAAAGATGTTCCCCAAACAAAACAAAAGAAAACATGGTGCGCTTTTATACAAGGTAATTTCTAAAAACAGGGATGGACGTTCTTTGGCCAAATGAGTTTTGCTCACTGACAGAAAAAAACTGTGGTTCGACTCAACCTTTCGATCAACGACGACGGGGTGAGATCGTTTCATTTGGCCTACACATGCGTATATACAGTAAATTTATTTTGAGCTAAAAAACATTTTACTCGTTTCCGCATATTATTTATATAACATCTTTCCCTTATTGGTAATCAACGTATTAGCTAATTATTTTTATTACGAACCTGGTGATACCTTCCATCCCAATAGCAAGACTCAAGCAGGCATTATTTGTCAACGTTTGACTTTTGCCGCCATAATATATATATATATATATATATATATATATATAATAAAAAAGACAATTAGTTTACCATGAGTACCTTTACAATCGTAGTGGTCGCACATTGGACCCGAAATCGTCATGACCCTGACGTAACTAACAGGTTAAACCTTTAAAACCAGCCATCACCGATTTCGGTATCTGCCACCTAATAATTCCAACCGATATCGCCTATCGCCTAAAATCGTTTGCCTCCTCTTACCAACTGTGTTGATTGCATGACGATAACTATTATTATGACAACCATATTGTTGGTTAATTTCCTCGCTTTCAATTCTGTCAAGCCTTATAGATATAGATACAGAGACCCGCATGGCAAAGCGTTTCTTTTTGATAACTGACCACACCCTGCCATGTGCAGGCCGGCTAGAAACAGGCGATTTTTCCCCTTTTTGACCGATAAAGCCTTGTATACAGTTGTGTGATATATGAAGAATAGCGTCTCATACTGCATATACAGATTATACGCGGTGTATGTTTGAAACTTTCATATTTGTTCTTCACCTTAGTCAGTTTGAAAATCGTAACTACATATAAACGTACACGTTGTTGCTCACGGCTACAGACACCTGTGAACAGCCTGCGTTATTTTTTGACGCAGTTATGCATGCTTTGTATCAAACTTCGTGTGTATTCGCAGTGATCAGCATAAATGTGTGTACGTTAATATTGGATTCACGAAATAAAATTTCATTAGCAATAACACTTAATAATAATATACTTCTTATTATATATATATATATAGATTTTCAAGCATCGCTGTTAATTTTATGTTCATTCTGAAATACATACCTCTGTTTCCTTTAAACAATAATATCTTCCCTCACAAACCAGTTAAAAAAACGGTACCAGTACTCTCTAGTAATTTACTATTGAACACTTTCTTTATTTCGTAAAATTTCAGGCCTTTCAAGGTATTCGCACGCATTTACTCGAGTACTTTTTCCGAAACCTTTTAGTCTTCCACACGATACAGCTTTTTTATGTTTCGCTTGTTCACTCACTAGCCACACTGTCTTAGGAAATTATCAGATTTCTCCCTAATCAACGACAAATCAGAAAACAATGATCGACTTCAGGAAGACACCTCACCCTTTTGTCACTACGAGCCGTTCTAACGTTCGCTGATTCACTCTCCTTTAGAGACTTTGTTCGGAGGCAGAAGCATCGATATACACATGCACACACACGTTACTCATATGACGCCCGTAACACGGCGGCACCGATAATAATAACAACAACAACAGGAAGAGATAAGAAGGGTCTGGAAGGGCTGAGTCAACAGTGCCCGTCGGCGAAACACAAAACTGGCAAGCAATTTTAACTCCGCCACAGCCGAGTCGAGCAAATAGCAACCGTCAGATGCGGCAGTGTTAAAGGGTAACGAAACGACTCTCACCGAATAATCTTTTGCGACGACTATTCTGCCGTCAGCCACCATTGAACTAGACACTGCTGCCAGTAAAGGATCAAGCAGAGCTTATTTCCCGCTTCATTTCAGAGAGTTCGTTTCTACTTCAGCATAACTTCAAGCGTTATTGATCTCGCTCTGTTCTTCTACTGTGCATTCTGCAATACTTCGGCAATGTGCTGCGCTGCTGTGGCGTTGCGAGGCTACTCGTCCGGCAGCCGCGGGGAAACTGCTCTTTCTTTCTAGTGAAGTCAGCGTGTACTCGTTACTGGTCTATTCTATTTACGCTGTTGACGTTAACGTTGGCCGTAGTTGCTTAGAGCGGCGCAGGAAGCGTCGTCGGTTTCGTACGTTAGTCGTAGTCGTTGATCACTGGTTGATTCCGCTTTATGCACTGTTCGGCTGGCGCTAGGGAGCGCCACTAACACTGAGACAGCGGTAGCCCCAAGCTGGCAACGAAACAGATACAGAAAAGCTGGCCGGTTGCGGCTCTACACGATCAAAGCTGCTAGTAGCTGGATAGTATGTGTGTTTGCGTGCGACCTCGTATGAAAGACCAGATGAGAGAGAAGTAGAAAAAAAAATAGAACGGTGCGCATACTATTAAGTGAACCATCGTCGTAAGCCGCTAGACATTGTTTAGGACATCGAACTGTCGCTTCAGAAACAGAAGTGCAGGATGCTGAAATGTCTCGTTGTAGTAATAGCCACTATGATAATGGCGATGGAGAAGAGCTCGCAGAAGACATACCTTATGGCGTTGTGGCTCGGCTGATCGTGATGACGTGATCGGGCTGCCGATCAATCACGTCATCACGATCAATAGAAATTATAGTGCTACAAAATCTAATTTTCAATTTGGCGTAGATTTTGATTATCATTGCAGGAAAAAATATTAATTAAATGTATTACAAAAATTAAACAATACTCCTCTTGCCTATGACCTTAATATTTTTAGCTTGCCTACGACTTGATTAATTTCAAAATAGGAAAGCCTATGTCAGTCAACGATTTTTCAGTTAAATAGAAGACCGCTAATTCAGCTTAAACTGTATTTGTTATTATCCATTGAACTGATAAGACTATTAGCGACCGGGACATTAAGGCCGATGCGAACAGGCCACTGGGTATAGGTCGTAGTAGATGTATGCGTGCTGATCATGATCGTAGTGCACGACGATTTGTCACGCTCGCTAGTCGTCGACGACGAATACTGTATATTACGGTGTTGCGTCAAGATGGAGCTGAGTAGTCCGTAGATGGGAGCAGCGACGAACCGACTGGAATCATTTTGCCTTGATAGACGAATAGAGATTGCTGTTCGGTTTGTTTGTTGACTAACCAAGCCACTAGAGCTGTCTATGGTGATCGAGTAGTGCACAAAGAAGCTAGAAAAGTGAGAACACATTATGAAGCATACAACAGCTTTTGGTTAGAATAAAATCCTTGATTAAGGTTCAGATGGGATGTATGTATGCGCGGGTATAACATGTAACTTCATCTTTTCCGGAAACCTCTGTGAAGACGGGTAATCTTTTCAAGAGTAAAAAAAATAGCGTATTATGTAGCAGTTAACAAGGAAACGAAGTCACGAAGGGATTTAAAGTTCGTTTAGTTGATACGGGGAGTCAACCGGAGATGTATCGTTATCAGGATTATGTTTAGCGTTAAAAACATACCTCCTTTATTGTACGGCAGCGTTAATTAGGCAGATTTTGATAAATTTTATTATTAGAAACAAAGTTACGGGCTATACGACTATTAGTACGACCTGGGTTTTGTATCTTCGTTGTGCACTATATGTCCAATTGTTGGTTTTGCCATCGTTCTTTGCGTACCACAGTGTAACTCACTGGGATATATCCCCAGCATCCTAAGCTGATATCAAACATAAGAAAAGCTAAGTTCTATAAACGGATCACTGAAGCAAGAGCATCCAACAGGCAAGATCCTACTGTAAACGGTCATTTTTACCACCGAAAGACTCCACAAACGAAAATCTATGCGTTTGTACATTTTGGTTTCTTGCCTACTTCCGCGACCTATCATTACGATGCGTAGCCTGTAGTTTTCTCGAGAACTCCATCAGTCACATCAGCATCAGCCGCCAACTTTGCAATGCCGTATGTAAACCTATCTAGTTGTCCCGTCAGCAAGTTATTTTTACATATTTACGTATATTATATAAGTATTTTACATAAACATACATCCTTTTCGTTGCCTAGCTACCCACGTGTATAAGCCATTTGTGTCAGCCTCTTCTGCTGTAAGTAGGATTAGCTGCCTGCCAGAACAAAGAGCGGTCGATAACATTTTTCGACAGTTTTTTGTTGGGAACACGACGCACCACCGTTGCCTTACCATTGTCCTCTTGATGGCGTTTCCGTCGTTGTCGTTGGTGGATTGTTGCGATCAAATCCTCAGATTCCTAGCAGTTGCACCTATAAGTAGGTACTCTCTTGCCATAGCTACTTCCTTTTCTCATTTTTTACTCATTCATTTGCTCTTCAGCAGGGAGCGCGTTTGTAATATTTGCCGCAGCGAACCCAATGGAAGGGGCGGGAGCAGTAACGGCAGACTCAGCCATAACCACGCCTATTGTGGAACCCCTGGCCTTAATGTTTTCCCCTTTCTCTTCGCGTTCTACTCATCCAGTGCTATGTCTGTGCTCGTTCCTGCCGCCAAACATCAAGCGGTGCTGTTGCGTTCCGCCATCTGACGTCGTTGTCGTGGACGCTTATCGATGGCGACGGGAAAACATTTTGTCCATGGCGTCATCCATCAAGTGTTCTGTCAATTGTTTACGGTGCGGCCGTCGTCCGTGGACGGATCGCGTGATAGGAGTCTAAACTATCTCTAGGCCGAGCTTTCGTACAACGACGGTTTTCTGTTCGTTTTCTCGTTAAGTTGTCGCCGTCAACTTGTTTCGACAATTGCTCACCGTTCCGTAATTCCGCGCGTTTGGTTACGGCTCGAAGTGGCTATTGGCGTAGTCTAGCTCGCGTCGGATGCGAATGCCCGAAATAGACTGGCCCAGAAATAGGTTGCTACTGGAGCTATTACTGTTACTTCGACGTTTTGTATTGCTTTTTCTGGGGGTGGTAAGAAACAAACGGGCAACACAATGGCTGCAACAGCGAGGCACCATGTAACAAAAGACAAAGATTAGTTTTCAATCGAGTAGCATTATGGCCTCTTTTTTTGATAACCATTGTCGCAATAATAATAACAACATACAAGGAACAAAAAGTTGGAAGAAAAAAGAATTGTTATCGAACTGCTAGTAGAGGTAATAATAGTATGCTCTATTTATGTGTTATGCATATATTTGCATATATATTGATGTTTATCATTAAGTGACCAGATGTTTCTAGAATGCCGTGGGTTCAGAATAAGCGATTTTTCGGTAATCCTCTTGAGATTGAGATGGCTACCCGCGTTATGGCACTCGATGCAGAAGCTCAAATATACAGTGCGGTTTTAGTAAATGACACCGTTGCCTAACACCTAACACGACAGCTTGTTGAAATTATCCGATGTCTAGGATGGAGATAGCAGGTCACGTTTTGGCTGATTATACCGAACGGTGGCGTTGCAGTTGATATGGTAGGTCATATAGTAGCGTAGGGTGATACTATCGAGAGTATGTAGGTCGAACCTAGTCCGCGATACGATAGCTACACTGTAAGAAAAGGGGTCACTCTTAACAGGTTGTTGACAAAGTCGCTCTACCATGGCACATGTAGGCACAAGATATTCAGTTAAGTGACGGTTCGTAGATGTAACGTCAGAGTCAATCTATTTAATAGATTTAACCTATAAAGTATTCAATACGAGTTGGCAGCCCAATTCGATCCAGCTGGTAACCACTTCGCTGGTACTGCTATTTTCCTGTAAATATCCCCAGGTGCGTTGTGTTATGAGACTGTTGAGTGAACGAGGGTGGAGGGGTGGGCCACGAAGTGGGACATATGATTGCCATTGGCTTTAATGTCATGATCTGGGGGTAGGAGTTTAGCTCCTGCTGAATGATTGTTCATCAGCAGCAGCTAACGATTTTTGTGAAATAAAAAAGCATTGTGATTTTTTGGTAAAATATGAAACCCCACTACTAACAGAACGTTCGTCCAGCACCGTAGGACTCCACACATTGACGTCTGAAACTCGTGATTCTATCATTGTTTCCAATATATAAGCATGACCGGGATGTAGAGATTTAACTTTTTAATTGAAGGCTGAACTAATTTCATTTTTAAATGAACAGAAATGCCTTTGTTGTGAGCATCGTTGATGGCGTGACGAGGACAACGATTAGATTGAAATACTCGATTGTATATTTTCCACTTTCTGCATTAAGACAACTTGCAAGATTAAGTAAATTTGTGACGTAATAGATCAACGTTTAATTGACTGCTGCAAATCGAACTTAATCGAGTTCACTGTTAGGGGACATGGGACAAGTAGTACATGCTCCTTGAACGATATCTGGCACAGGCGCGTCAAGTGATTTGTACAAGGCGCGTGTGATGCGGACAAGTCTATAGTTCTAAAGTAAAGGTAATGACTAAAAGCAGATGAACGTTTTGCATGTACGAAAATTTGGGAAACATCAGGACGGCATACTTGATGGCATATGAGCTTCCCAAATGAGGTACATACTTTCAGTAGTAAGCTTAAGTTCAGCTTTAATGAGGTTGTTTAATGATTCTCACCACCCGTTACCAGCTTACCCGATTTTTTCTAGGTCCTTGTTGTATATATCCTCAAATTACTGTAATAGTGAATACAATAAAATGGATAGATTATACAATAATTATATTTGTTTATCTTATAGCCGTTTGTTTGTACGAGGATGTATGTTCGCTTGTTTTAATGCAGCTTCATCCAGCTTTGATATTTAACATTATCTTTGGCACGCATTAAAAAATAACCACTATGTGAACCAATCATTACGCAAATGCTAGTTGTGTGCATCTTGGTGCAACGAGAACTGGTAAATGGTGCCGTTCCCACAAGCAACGTTTTACGACATTTACAAAAAAAAATCTGTATACGTGTTTAAAATTTTCAGATTCTTCGGGCTGTGCCCACCATCCAGCTGAAACAATGTTCTCGCTCAATGTCATCAGGCATTAACTTTAGTGAGTAAACTCCTCGACTATATTCGAGGCATTACTTAACATTAACTTTGAACTCATAGTGTCGATTATTCCTCTTAGCTTCTGATCTTACATACGTACGTTACGTATTTAACTTGATACTGCTCCAAAGTGTGTAGTTTAGTGGCATATGAAAAAATTCGTATGAGACGCTTTTTAACCACATACATCAGTATAACTAGTATTATTATTATTAATTTTTTGTTTTGTTTTGTTTTAGCCTTGAATGACGAGCAGAAGAAAATGCAGGAACTGGCTAGAAAGTTCGCTCGGGAAGAGATCCTTCCTAAAGCCGCACACTATGACAAAACCGGAGAGGTACGTGGGTGCATCGGTTTGTTAGCCGACTCTCTATGTTGACAAGCTATGAAAATTCAGATTTAGATAGTATTTTCAGTTTTCTTCAAAAAGCTTGTTAATTTTATATCCACGCTCTCGTGTTCGCCCGACGTCCGCCTCTTTTATGAAGGTCTAAAACAACTGATGGCCGCATGATACTCTGGCGATAGTCATGAATCTTACTTTAGCAACAATTATGACAACTAGCGGTCTTCAAAGTATTCGAAAGGCGTAAAATCGTCTTGGAGCAGATTTTGGAAACGTAAGGTTATCGACCTGATCAATCTTTTTACGAGATGCTTGTTAGTTATTTTCTTCTTTTTTTTTCATATTACAGTTCCCCTGGGACATCGTTAAAAAGGCACATGAGCTTGGCCTGATGAATTTGAGCATTCCCCAAAGTGTCGGTAAGTACAATCTTATATGCCAACTCTATCATAGGTCATAGTCTGATGGGGTCGAAAGTGTATGCTTTTGGATACTATGAGTATCCTCATTTTATTAGGGGTAACAATAAATTACCAAACCCCTTTGCCTAAAGGCGTTATCTTGTGTCGCTGTGTAGATTCTGCCGGACATAAAAGGCTATAGAATAAATACAAATAGTTAAAAAGGAAAACATGTAATTCACATGTGATAGCTTGTTCGTCCATAAACGGAGAATTTGCTGACGACTGTTTACGACTCAGGGGGTAGGATATTTTATCAACCATAGTTAAACAGGCGCAACCAAACCTAAGTTTCGTGAGGAGGTTATTGAAGAAAGCTATTTTCAGAGTACGGGTCTTAGATTAACAATCAAATTCTATTTGGTATTATTATGTCGATGAAACGACTCGCTGGTAACTCACAGGTAGCATAGTAAAGTAAAGCTACTCTTAAGTACCTAGTTGATTATGTTACACCAACGCGTGGAGCAATAGGACGATAGGAACGATAGATTTTGACTAACTGTAATCACAGAACAGACACATACATTTTGAGCTTAATGCAGGGTGAATTTTGGCATAAAATTCATCTCAATGGCTCGTAAATATTGGTAACGTGATTTTTTTAACTTGCGCCGCCAATTAACTCTAGACGATGGCAGCGACCATGACCCATGTGTTGTGTTATGTTCATGCTGAGTTTTATCTTTTTAGGCGGTTTGGGCCTTGGGGCGATGTCGGCCTGTATCGTGACCGAGGAGATTGGTTATGCCTGTACGGGTATTTCTACAGCCATCGATGCGGCTAGACTTGGGGTAAGCCTACGATTTCCACAAGTCCAATACGAACTACGGTAGCATAGACATCAATAAGCTTTTGACTCTATTACAGTGTCCTTGTATGTAAATTCTACAGAAAAAAAAAATTATAATTTCCCAAACTCGCAAAGAGATAATGTGACTTTTGAGACTCACCTGAAACTACTACAAGGATGAGGTGTGACTAACGTGTGTACGTGTGTTTATGGAAAGACGTTTTCTGGTTGTTTACGTGTTTGGTTGTGTCAATCCACTTGAAGGTAAACTGTGCTTTGCACTTTTTATCGCCTTTTATCCTATGTACATGTTACTAAACCTTTATAATCTACGATTGGGGCATAATAACTTGGATAGACAGAAGAAGTTAACGAGGGCAGGTCTAATCTAGACATGAAAAAGTCGTCAATACATACAAATAATGTCTCATTTCGCTCTATGAGTACGACGTGTTTGCAACAAAAACTTTTGCATGACTCGCTATGTACAGGTAGGCTCACTACGGAAATATTGGTTTCGGAACTTGGTGTGCTTGTCATGCATTTATCCATTTTTTCCTTTCATTTCCGAGAGATTTGCGTTGCAAGGACCACTGTGATCGAACTATGAATTCAGCGCAAGGGGTGTAACACTATTTAGCCAAATAATCAAAAGGATCTTATCAGATGGAGATCCGTCAAAGATAGCGCATACTAGGTACACTCACGAAACAAATCAGCTGCTAAGGAGCCAGTCTATATGGAAAGTTATCGGATGTTTTTTTGGGGGTTACGGTGGCAGTGGGGACCGAGACTAGAGCCGATTTCGCTGAAAAACATTTGTGATGAAAGTTGTCTTTCTATCAGATCGAGCGGATTAAACTGTTGATTGTGGTATGGGCTTGGGAGTGTTCGATAGATGTCTCGTTGTTGAAGAATTGAGCCGGGCATGTTCGGGAATAACGTTGGCGACCACCGCCACTGACCTTGGGGTAGGTATTTCAGTACATCTAAGAAGATATAATGTTGACGATACGGGTGATATGTTGTAAAATACAGGAAATCCTGGATACATGCAGTGACTGGTTGCATCGTACCATCGAAAGATCTGTAACAACCGTTTCGTAGTGAGCCGCATTACCCAATTTGCTTTGTTTGATTCTCCTGGCTTCCTCCTATCGGTTGTGCTTTTAATGGCGAACTTCCTGGTAGCTTCTTCGTAGAGCTTCGAATTCTTTCTGTGTGTGTTAAAAAAAAATGTGACAATGTATGTCAAATATGAGCGCGCGGTTTCTCCAAATTAGTGAGGGGCTTTATAACGCCTTTCCACGGCTTAGGGATGATGAGATTCAGCCGTTACGAACCTACACAGTCTATGTTACGGATGCTATGTCTGAATTCTGTCTTTGTCTAATAGAAAGCAGTCGACTATTGCTGTTCGTTTCTCTTATTCTTGAAATTGAATTATTGAAAGATATTATATAGCCTTCAGCTCTGCACAATGTTCACATGCAGTTGTCTTGCCTTTATTTTTTACCTCTCTTGAACAGTTCTTCCTGTAGATAGCCCCTTACAAATATATCAGTCTAAGATGTTGCCACTTGGGTGCCAGCATACAATACATTTTTATGCTGCTTTAAAAAAATAAACTATGTAGTTATCCCTTTCTAAATACAGAACCTTATTCTGAAACAAACCGAATGCCTTTCCCTTTTTCTAAGTGAATCCCTTGTTCTACTTGTTTTTAACTTTTGTATTTGTGTTTCTGGTGATGATAATGGTTTTGTCGTTCGTCGGTCTACAGCAAACACCTGTCGTTTTGACAGGAAATCCTGCGCAACAGAAAAAGTATCTTGGTCGTTGCATTGACGAGCCTATCGTTACAGCCTATTGTGTTACAGAACCTAGTGCAGGTTCAGATGTCGCAGGTATCAAGACCAAGGCCGAGAAAAAGGGTAACAAATGGGTAATCAACGGCCAGAAGATGTGGATCACGAACGGTGGTGTTGCGAATTGGTATTTTTTGTTGGCACGCACGAACTTCGATCCGAAGTGCCCTACTTCGAAAGCCTTTACAGCTTTTATAGTTGACAGGTTTGTAGAAAGTTTTGGCTGGTTTAAATGAAAAAAAAAAAGAAATTAATAACTAGTGCTGCGAAATTATCGGAATTTTAGCTTGTCGGCTGTGTCAACAGTGAATATGCAAAAAAGTAATAGTATGAATAAGACGCCTTGTTTGATTTTAAAAAATTGAACCACGGAAACTAATACTATTTTTGCGATAAACGTGATTAAGCACATTGTTAACACAAAATCCAATATACATTGTAAAATCCGACTTGTTTCTTAATACCACATTAGAAATGTTCTTATTTTTACCTTGTGTTCATCGCATAATGCGGCCAAGCATTACATTTTAGAGATCGGAAGGGTGTGATTCCTGGTCGCAAAGAAATAAATATGGGTCAACGGGCTTCAGACACGCGAGGAATCACATTTGAGGATGTTGAGATCCCTGAGGAAAACGTTCTACTCAAGGAGGGGGACGGATTCAAGGTCGCCATGATGACCTTTCACGAAACGCGACCTGTTGTAGCAGCGGCAGCGACAGGCCTCGCCCAACGTGCATTGGATGAAGCGAAACAGTACGCTCTTGAAAGAAAGACGTTCGGAAAACCTATTTCCACTGTAGGTATCATTTCAATTTCAGTTCGTGTTTTATTTCTGCATGACAGAAATACGTAAATCAAGTTTGGCTGGTTGAGTTAATAAGAAATCCATGCTGAACATCAATGATAACAAAAGAATAAACGGTGTTGGAGCGCCAGCCATTGAATAAATAATGTAACGATATTACTCTATACTACAGCAGCGAATCGACTATTGATATGTTAGCGACACCATGCGGTAGGAGTGTGAACTAAAACAGAAATAGTTGACTGCCAGAGAGCCTAGCTCTTGGAATTAAATGAAGATCATCTCTTGTTGTTCGAATAACATATACCGACATCGACAGCAACAGCCTCTGTAGGTTTACCTGTATCCTAGCCGATTGCTTATCCTTGAAACTCCATCAATATTTCCTGGCAATTCATGTACAGAAACATTGTACAGGCGTAAAAAATGTTGAGAATATTTGATTTTATTTAGGTAGCTTTGATATTTCCGAAAACGAAAATTGATCAATATGATTATGATAGTGATCAATATAATCTAATTCTGTCTTTCTTCTGCGAGTAACAGCATCAAGCTGTGCAATTTATGTTAGCCGAAATGGCAATGGGAGTCGAAACGTCTCGATTGGCATGGCAGCGCGCTGCATGGGAAATTGACCAGGGTCACACAAATACATATTACGTATCGATTGCCAAGGCGTTTGCTTCGGACGTTGCGAACAAATGTGCTACGGACGCTGTACAGATTTTCGGAGGCAACGGATTTAACACGGAGTACCCTGTCGAGAAACTGATGCGGGACGCCAAGATCTATCAGGTAATTGAAAATAAAACAAAAAGCTCGTTTTAGCCTAAATGCGTTTATGTAAAGAAAAAAAAATTGAAATACCTATCGAACGACATTTTTTTCTTCAATGCCAAAACGCACATAATACTTATCATTATTGCCTCTCAATATTCTATCCTACGCAGATCTACGAGGGGACTTCTCAGATCCAGCGAATGGTCATCGCTCGCAAGATGCTCTCGGGAGGAGAGTAGATCTGCAGGAAATTTTAACAAAGTGACCCAGAGGAAGATACTAATTAGCAAATGTAGCATGAGACCGCTAATATAGATATTTGCTACTAGATTTTTTAAAAATAAGGAAGTTCAATGAAACTTAACGATTAATTTTTTAAATCGCAAAATCATAATTTGACTCAAAAAAATGAATGGAGTTAGGTTGTTGCTACAGATTTTGCTCATCACAAAAAATGGGACCTGCAATAAAGTATGCGTAGGCATTTTCATATATACTATATGAATATATAGTATATATATATATTTCATATATACTATGCGTTCTATTTGATTTACCTAATGAACTCGTAGCATTTTAACCCTAAGTGGTTTCCGACGCTGAAAGTTAGACGTTATCTCTGTTATAACGTTCTAGCAGTTTAGGAGAATATCTCGAAACAATATCGAGAAACAAAGCAAATAGCCTAATTATATTTTAAAAAAAGCTTACTTAGATACACATTTTTTAAACGTAGGGTAAAGGTGAAGTAATATAACCCAAGTGCGCTAAACAAGTTCAGTTCTTTAGATGTAATCCTCTAAATCCTAAAAAAAAATTGCAGCTATTATATATGTAAGAAAGTTTATATTGCAATATAAAGGTAAAGAACTACAAACTGACTACATGAATTGTACGGCTAGAATCCTACAGTACCTATTATTCTACTTCTATTCCTCTTCGTTTTTTAGGCCACTTTTATCCTTGAACACGTATTTATTTTTATGCGGCGTAACTAGCGTTCTGAAATGTTCACCGACACCTTCTATATAGGTTTTATAGAGCATAAGTGCTTCGTGCACGGTAATTGTATTTCACCCTTATTTGTAGCTTTAATGAGCTATCTCTAAAATGTGTAATTCTTTCTGTTGTATACAATTTGTCCGATAAAATACGTGTGATACGGCGAAACCCGAGGTATCTTGACTGCACGGACAGATTTAACCGGTATTATTTGCTTATCAATGGGTCAACAGGGGCCGAAGTCCGCGAAGGGATTGACGAACGGCTCGCTTTCACGCACAAAAGCCATTTTCCATCGAGGGATGTATTATTAGCCCGAAAGATAGACGAATATCATAGCAAACGAAGGACAATATTTTGGCTAGGATGCATTCAGTTATTCTAAAATTATATAACATAAAATTACAATAAGTTGAAGTGGCGAATAAAACAACCGGAACTTAGTTCCGTTTCTGGTGATTTTATAAGTACACAAATAGACCAATATAGTCGAGCCTTTTCTCGCAGGCGTACTGGATCCGAATCTTTAAGTACCGACAACAATGTATTCATTATAGCACGATTCTACAGTGAGCTTTCATGGCTAAGATCCCGGTTCGCTTCGACAATATACAGCTGCCGATGATCATCCACTATTCATTTGTACACCACATGCTACGGCCTAGCTCTTAAGTTGGTAAGGTTTATAGGAACAAATAATCGTCAGGTATCTTCGTAATCGAACGATTTTATACCTTACTAACCAAGCGTAGACAGAAATAGGGAAGGATCTACACGGCATAGCTATGACAGACGATCATGCACGAGCAGCAGACTATGGATTGGTCTAAATACTTATTCAGTGCTTATACTGTATAAATGTCACTTGCTTGTTTCCCGACTGGGATGCAAGAATAAGAAAAGATGACGGCACTATGACCCACAATGGGGCTAGAGACTCCCAGTCTGATTCGACCGTCAATAAAACTGCGATCGCATCCTCTGCACCGAATAAAAACACTCGGACGACATGATGAAAGTCAAAAATAGTGGCCACACATAGCCCAGTCACAAGGTCTGGGCAAACAATAATTCCCACGTGTTACCAAAAGTAAATTTGTCCAATCTGTCGAAATATACCATCCGCACAACCTGATCCGAGTCGGAAGCACTGGCGAACCCCACGATATAAAACGTCATAGTGATACTTGCGGTCCGACTGTCCGTAAAAAAGCTGCTGCTGAAACTTTTGGCAACGGAGCTTCCGAATTGCATCGCTAGGGAGAACGGGAAGTGCAACTAAACGCATTTCGGAAATAAATCCTTGACAAGACGGAAAACAGAACGTTGGCTAGAAATGGAATTACTTGACTGGGGACTAGATTGGCGATGATCGTGTTATGGCTCGACCACTGCATGCATCGATTGCCTACTCTTGACACTGTATCTGAAGACGCGCGAAAATTAATGACAAGTCGCCGCGCTTGATATATTACGTAAGAGTGAGAATATCTATTTTAAGTCACGTCCACCTTGTTTGTACTTTCGCCTATACGATTTGATGCACACCACCAGAAGTTGGATTGCAAACGTTGTTAGACATGTCCGAAGCGTACCCTCTTAGTAACAGGCTCAGGTTTAGCTTATCAGTTTGCTAACAGAAGAGAATAAACAAAAACAGAGAAGCTATTCAAATCTTAAAATTATGTCGCATGAAACTTTATTTAATTTGAATAAAATTGCTGCAATTCATGTCAAAACTATTGCTTTGGCACATCTACACATCAGACGACGCGACATACATACATACATACACATACATGTCTATGGTTATAAATATTTTTCTCCATAATAACCGACTTATAATTATAATATAATTATTAGTCTGTTGTCTTACAATTACAGAGCAGGCCAGCTTAGCTCATAATATAGCTCATTCTGTATCTTGAAAAGAACTAACTGTCCAATGCGTTTGCTTCTAAATGTGTTAAGTCCTTTGAGGTTCATGACGTACTCTGTCAGACGAATCACAGATTATGAAATCAACGACGTTTTTGCTAGATCCGCTTAATTAGCCCCGACTCACTGATCGATTTCTTATGCTCGGGACATGTAGTTTGGCACTTCTTATGGTCAAATTCAAGCCAACCGTCTACAGAGTATTACAAATACGCCCACCACTAAATACATCAAATACGTCTTATAATTACAATGCACAGACATTCTATTTAAGTTCGAAAGAATTGCCTCTACGTTAATGCAACCAGTTACAACGCGTTGCAATGGTACAACACGATATTCATGGAAAGAACAACAGAAGTAACTACGTATTCTATAACAATGATGCTACAATGCTATACAATATAAAAGTATTTAAAAAAAAAAAACACAGTAGAATCAGATGTGTTTTCGTTCCTGTACATCCTGAGCTACAATAAGCTCATATCAAATCTGTAAAAACAAAATGCGTATTATGTGTTTTTCTCAATCAAGGTGGCTCTGGTTGAATCGAGCATCGAATCCCTTAATGTTATTTTCGTTCCTTACCATTATAACTAGACGCACTTCGGTAGAATGACAGTACCGCAGCGCTGGCTTTCAAAACTCGGTGGCTCAGAAACCGGACCTAAGGACGCGACGGGTAGATCCTTCATTGGGACGCCAAAACTCATAAGGCTCCAGTTCTGACGGACGATTTGCTGCAATTTTAGAGATGAATAATATAGCAATGCAGGCAACGATTCGGCAGAGAAGACATGTATCTATTTAAATTGTGTGATATATACAGTAATTATACAACTGAACTAGGAGCTAGCTTATATAGAAGGCAAGTGATGTAGTATTTATTATTATTATTTATTATTATATTATATTTATTACTACTAGTCTGCAGTGTCAAATGGTCTCGACGCCTGTTTAGATACCGTTGGAGTGGAGGGGCCCTGAGGCGATTTTAAGTAGTTTGTATAGGTTTTGCCTGAGAAACGGCATGGACAATGCGTTTCCACGAATGCTCATCCTCCTAGCAAAGGCTGAGATAAAAGTACCTTTTCAATTAATGTTGGACAACTCAATTTCAAATATACAGCAACAGGTTACCGCCAGTAAGGCATGCGGTGAAAATAGAGCTAGGACAACCGTGCGGCTTTATGCGGCCTTATGCGGCCTCATGCATCCAAAGTAGAAAAGCCACAGTTGCAATGAAAGCGTCGCTTCTGGTAGTTCCACTGCACGTTGCTTGAAGTTGACCAACTCAAGTGCCCTATAGTCGAACGGCGTCTAGATTTGTAAGCTTGTTCGAATTTGTGAGGTTGATCTATACACAAAGATGGCCTATTTGTATCTCGTTTGTGGAATTTCAACGTTGCTTACATGTTGAACTATTTAGACGTGGAATAATATCATGTAGACTTGATTCTGCATAAAAATGTACGACTGATGATATGTTAGGTAGTAGTGAACCAAGCTACAAAGACATGAAAGTAAGTTAGTCGAAATGAAAAGATTTATATACTTACGATAGTATTACCTCTCCCGTAGTGGCGCGTCTTCGATTATACACCAGGTAAACACTAAGTCCGATTACGATTGTTATAATCGTTGCACCGGTGATGACAGAGAGGATGTCAAGGTCCATAATGAACGCCGGAATTCGTGAGAGAATTGATATCTCCTCCTGCAGAATGTCCCCTACCTGCAATGCAGTTATTCAATGAAGCCACAGCGTTTTTAATATTTTGTGATAATTTTTCCATTATAATATTTGTGATTTATTTTTCCAATATTTATAACACTTCCACACCAAGCTGGAAAGTACAGCACTGATGCATATATATATATATATATATATATTGCTACGCCAGAATAACACCGAGGGGAAACTTGAAACGATTTCTTTACCCTGTGAACATCTTCGAAACCCTTGTTTGTGGTGGGACTCGTTTCCTCCAGACACAGTGGCGTCTGGGGCGTCCAGTGTCTATCAATGCAACGCAATTCCGACTCATTAGAAGGTGAAGCCAATATGAAACCCGGGTTGCATGAAAAGTTGGCCCGATTCGATCCATCTAGACGTGCGATCGTCCCATCCTCCATTGTCAGCGAGCAGTTGAATGGAAGACATGCAGGTTCTAAGAGGTAAGAGTCCAGTTTTTATTCATTATCTATAGGGAAGTTTATTTAAGGGCTTTGCACCCACAGTAGATCGTTTCGTAAGCTTGGTTCTCTTAGTATGCTCACCGTATGCGTATTATGTCAGACTTGTTGTTTTTAGGTTTAATCTGAGTATATTCAGGCGTACCCTTTTGTGAGATCGACCCGTTTCCGAAGCAACGAACCTCATCTCCGTCAAGGTAGTAACTCTCACCGCAGAAAACTTTGCTGATCTGGTTAACGGGTACTTGTCCTGTCGATACAGATTTATATACAGTCGGTTAGACACACGGCAACGCTACATCATGCTAATTCTCTATACTCGATAATATACTCTACGCAAAAATGTTAAATATTACTGGGCTTGTTTAGACCTCAACATGAACAAAAATACTATATTTATATTAGGGCCTAGCTAAATATTCATATTATACAATATCAAATCGGGATATTTTTAGTGCGGTACTGGAACAATCCATTTTTGCGATTAAAACGAAGCACACCTAATTTCGAACAATTAATTTACCAAGATGGCCTGGAACCACCCAGCAATACACAGCGAGCAATTATTTTTGTATTGCTAACTATGCTATTTAGAGCAAAATCAGTGTTCTATATATATGTATATATATATATATATATATACCATTCTGATGCATGATGGCGGCTCCTTCAGGCATAGGCGGGGTTCCGCAGGTTCTCAGATCGTGGATACACACAGCATAATGAGATCCTATGCATTTTTGCACCTTCCAAACCTCTCCTTCCATCGTCAGACAATCGTAGCTCAAACCGAATCCCTTATCTTCTAAAATGTCGTCACTTATGACGGGTTCTCCGCTGAACCAACTCCAGCCTAAAGATGCGTTTTTGTCCCGTCTAGCGCCTAACCAGGCACTGAAATTATGATCCAAGAATATTATATAATTGTTTCGAGTATTACATCCGGTAGTTCCCCCCAAGCACGAAACGACGCATGCTTTCGCCCAGATTCGACCGTAGCTCACCACGTCTTTCTAAGTTCAGTACACAAAGACGTCATTATGTGATGCACATAATTCAAACAGAGAGAGAAACAGCAAGAAAATAACATACGTGCGATTAACGTTTAGTTAGGACACTGAGTTTTCTATGAGGCAATGCTCAGTCAAAAGGCGCCAGTTAATGCAAGCTTCACTTACGTAGAATCTGTCTAAGATCGTATTCAGTTTATGAACAAATGTAAGGAAAAAACTATTGACATTTCTTGTATTTCAAATGCATACTGGACCACCAACGTAACATCAATACGTAGTAGTTTTATTTCGCAACATATTTCTATTAACCTGGTATTCTTTTCTTCAGCAAAGTGAGTTGCCAGGTGCCAGTTGACGTAATCTTGGAGATTTTTATCCATCTGCTCGAGAAGGTGGCCAGCAATATTTTTGCACACACTTCGTGCTTCCTCGATCGTTGCTACTCGTTGTCGAAAAACTTTGATACACCGAGTGCCAAACGAACCAATTGTCGTATTTAGATTATCATTTTGGTTGGAGCACACGTCCTGGGCAGCAAGGGCACTTTCCGAAAGAACTTGTAAGTTACAGAAGTTCACTATGTCTTTCGAATGTGTCACCTGCACGGAAACGTGTCTATGACAATAGAAAATAAGCCAAACAAGACATAATTTGCTTCGTTAATGGTTGTACTATAATACAGCGATCGATACGAAATTGACACCATTATCACACTTTAATAGGGGTCTGTCTTTGTTGATTCTTCAATGCGGCACTGCTCGTGCCGAGTCGCGCATAAAAAAGAAGTCAACGAAGATGTAACAAAAATCTTCGTACAACTACATTTCTTGCTGCTGAAGTCCACAACAGTATATCAGCGTTAGTTTTAGGTAAAAGCATAGTTTAATATGTGCAAACTATTAGCTTCGTCTTTACAAACTTTTTATTAATTATTTCTAGAATTATTATAATACACAAATCTGTAATACTCATCAGCGCCTGTTCCGTACCTGCCAACTGGGTTGTCCCGACAACTGAAATAGTTGGGCAAACCGGGAACGATGTCGAGGATTTTGTGGCCACAAATTTTCGATGTGTTTGGATAATGGCTACCCACTCGTATCATTACCGACACGTTGAATGCTGGTTCTCCAAATAGGACAGTGATTAACTAAAATATCGATAAGAAAATATACGTTCCTTCAATTGAAATTGCTGCAACTATACTGAAATGCACATATATCCATATCCACTTAGAACGGTTTTGCCCTTTGTTGTTCCCGTTTCGAGCGCATTCATGTGAAGACGTACTACACCAATGTTCAACAATACCTTTAGGAGTTCATCGAGCGAGCCCGTAATCATCCTATTTCTTAATAGCCTGGGTAGCGAAAATTCACCGCAAGTATTACATACCTTGACCGTAGTGGGCTCGATTAGGTCGACGATCATTGTGTATTTTGCATGTTTGGTCTTCGATGCCACGCAACTATTCTCATCATGGTCAACAGCGTAGCTCGCATGTGTATAATCAGTATCGAAGAACACTGGTTTTTCCAACGCCATATTGCGTAGACACTTCGGAACTGGATTACGCCATTTTCCGTTGTCGCATTGCCGCTTCTTCATGCCAACCAGCGTGTAGCCGGGATCACAGGAGTAGCTATGCGCGTACACACAGAATAGGTAAATATGGATAGAAACATAGTGCGTGTTGAAAAGAAAACTGTATTATACTGGGCTATGGTGTGACACCGTTTTTTAGGCACACGGCTCTATGCTATCGACACCTAACAACGTGAGGCTTTGTCAAGGATCATTCGAGGTGTGCGTTGAGCCTTTACTGAAAGTCACAACGTCGAATACGTGAGCTTATTGTAAAAACTACTGTTTGGTTAGGATATATATCCTAGTCCTTCTGCAGGAGCTATAACACATATAGACTGTCATTACTTCTACAGAAAAGGTTCAAAGGACAAAAACGAACTTATGAGAACTCAATAATCATTTCAGAACGATTTTTCTGCTCATAATCAAAATACGTACGTGTATCACAATTCGGTTCACTAAAGAACGCTTATGAAACACTGCGTTATGCCAATGGTAATTGTCGTTCACAAAATAACCAAAAGCAATTACCTGACATTGGTTTTATGAGGGAATTCCCGCTTGTTGGCAGGTGAGATCAACGGCTCGACCTTTCCATGCCATGGTGTTCCAGGAAACCTACAAGGTTTTTTCACTTCTTCTTTTACGTCACTGATGAACATGGCAGAAGTCTCTGAACTGATGAGCAGAATCACGACGAGAAAAGCACAAACCAATCCCCACTGGATAGCCATTTCAGGTGGATCTGTTGTCCACGAGAAAACAGCCCCCGCGCGCCGATCAAGCTAACTTAATTCGGGTATTTATTCCACTAGGTTTATAGGTCACGAGGATAGACAAAGCAAGGACTACTAACTCATGTACGCCGCCATTTGTCGAATACAGATTATCCTGTAACGCTTGAACTGCGCCAACGTGGTCACAGTCGCCTGATGTCACAAGAGAAATGAATGGCAAGCCAAATGACAATCGCTTTCATGGGATTATTTCGGTTTATATGCATCTCAATTCATTGATGCTTAGCACTGTCCCGATACCCTGTTAAAGAGAACGAGGACAAAGTAAACAAGTTCGAGAAGAACGAAATCTGAGCAAAAGATAGATTGGCGTAGATCGGTGTCAAACAATAGTTCCGATCCTATTTAAGCCTGCCGGTCATAGGTCGTTCTAAGTCACTGACGCAAGTTTTTTTTCGAAAAAGACAAACGCGCTAAGTACCGCCGGGACGTTTCACGTATCAAATGTGGCGTTCATGATGTGGTTTTCGGAACGATAGCGAGGCCACATTATAGCAGACGCCTGCAGGCTGCCCTGAAAGTTGATGCCTGCGTAGCCGAGAAAACGATTAGACGCTTTGTTGTCAGATTAGTAACCGAAGTCTGCTGTAATGCATCGTTCTCGATGCGTACAGCGAAGTGAACACAACATATGACGATAATGATGATTGATTTCGATGAATTTCGGTTTCGTTAGGTAGAAGACAAATTATCATCGTTGTATTGTTGGAAATGCCTGTATTGGGTGCAAGGGCCCACGGTATCAGTAAGAAAAAAGAAACATCACAAATTGCAGTTGGTATGAATTTCCTCAGATATATGAATATTGCTCCCAATAGCCCACGAGCCTGAGGTTCCGGTTATACACATAACGCGATATAAGTCTTCCTTTTCATTTTTAAGCGACGGTAAGGCCAAAAACGCATCTAGGGAAGCAACGACTATTTTCACACTTGTTTAACTCAATCGCGCTATTTAACAGTGGAAGAAAGCAAACATCGCTGGAAGAGAAGAGGCCGACGATGGAACAAAAGTGACGTCATATTTTATACTAAGAAAAAGCCGCGAACGAAATATAGTAGCTTGAAGATTAGAACACAAAGATTGAAGAAGGCTAGACCCGAAAATTGTTTCCTTTATAAATTACTGCCATAAATTGAGCTTCCAGAGAAAGCGGTTCAGAAAGATCCAACATTCATAAACCCTAACTACCCGGAAATGGTATTAGAGTATGTAACGTTCACGTCGATCATGCAAACTTGTGTTGCTTTTTATAAATATTCTCAATCGAGCTCAGGCA